CAGTGCAACCCACTCCCGCCGGTCTTTTCAACAAGTCACTCCTTGGCTTTGGTGTTCGGTCAAGTCTTGCCACCAGACTCTCCCCGTCCGTCCTGTTAACCGAGCTTGGCAATTCGATCCTTTTCAGCCTCCATAATGAAGTCTACTATCATGGCGATGAGCACTGCAGCAGCTTTGTTCGAAGTCGCGTCGGCTGCGACTTGCTACTCACAGTCAACGGCATGCGTGAGTTCTCCTAGCTACAGGCACAACTCCATCGCAAACAATTGGAACATGTTACTGACTTTGACCAGTGCTTGAAATTGAACAAGGCCCCAGGACTCGCCGGCAAGATCTACTTCCCCAACTCAACCGAGTATGTGGAACGTATGGACTCGTACTGGTCCATCACCGCGGCCCTGGACCCTTGGTGTGTCGCACAGCCCTCTACAGCCGAGGATGTCTCGACCATCATCACCACTCTCGCTGCGTCCAACTGCACGTTCGGCGTTCGCGGTGGTGGCCACGGCTCCTTTGCTGGATCCAACAGTGTCAACGACGGTGTGACCATCGACTTTGGCTTCTTCAACAGCACCACCTACAACCCTGACACGAAGATCGCCTCCATCGGACCCGGCGGTCACTGGCAGACTGTCTACGACACTCTTGCGCCGTATGGAGTCGTCGTCACAGGTGGTCGTGCCGGTACCGTCGGAACTGGAGGCTTCATCCTCGGCGGCGGCAACTCCTTCCACTCGGCGTCTCACGGTTTCGCCTGTGACCAAGTTGCCAACTTTGAGGTGGTCCTTGCTGATGGATCCATTGTCAATGCCAATGCCACTTCCAACCCGGATCTGTGGCGAGGTCTCAAGGGAACCGGCGCCAACCTCGGTCTTGTCACCCGCTTCGACATGTACGCCATCGACTTCCCCGACCCAACAAAGCCCGTAGTCTGGGGAGGCAACCTCATCTACGACCTGGAGTCCGGGCCCAAAGTCATCGACGCCCTTGTTGAATTCACGGAGAACGTTCACAAGGATGAGAACAGCTCTTCCATCGTCTACTGGGCATACCTCCCCCAGCTCGGCGGTATGATTCTCAATGCTGCTATCGAGAACACCCTGGCTGAGATTGCGCCTCCTGCCTTTGACGCCTATTATGCCGCTGGCAACATTACCCAGGACACTACCAAGGTCGACTTGATCTCCATCGTCGCAAACGAACTCGGTTCCGGTCAGCCTGCCGGCTTCCGCAACGCCTGGTTCACGCTCGCATTCGACAACGATGCTCGGATCATGAACTACGCCGTCGAGAAGTTCTACACCCTCAACGCGGATCTCGAGAAGGCCGTCGGTGCTGACTCGGGCTTCAACACTCTCTGCATGTTCCAGCCCATCACCAAGTCCATCGTCGACAAGGGCATCGCCATGGGTGGCAACAGCATGGGGCTGGACCAATACATCACACGAGGCAACGGCATCATGTTCCTCATTACCTTCGCCGTCAACGGAGCTGAGAATGAAACAATTTCTTTCCCATACATCCAGGCTTACACAGAGGACGTCGAGGCTTATGCTGCGTCTTTGGACTTGAACTGGGGTTGGATCTTCCTCAACTATGCCCACAAGGTACAAGATGTCATCTCGTCCTATGGTGAGGCTTCTATTGAGAGGCTAAGGGCCGCTTCTACCAAGTACGATCCTACTGGTGTTTTCCAAAACCTTCGTCACTCGGGCTTCAAGATTCCCTTCTAGATGTCCGGTGTAACAGTTGGCAAGAGTGAGAGCCTCCAGCATCACAAATCGTCGATCTACCTAGCAACTTAATGAACAATGTCCAGTATTATCACATAGACTTACAATGTTGAACAACACAACCTCCCGCTTTGGTGAACGTCTACACCCCGTGCTGAATCTGCATGCTCAAAATAAGGTACTAGGTAGTTGGTATAAAATTCACAACCGCTAGAAGGAACGCTACGTTTGCTATGTACTCTATGCAGAAAGCGGCCTCTATCGAACAAATCCGACTATCAACAGGTGCAGCTACCGCTCAAGGCCAGACACGGCAGCCAAGTGCAAAACTCCCAGAAAGATCCATCACCCGCCGTGCAAGTACAGCAGTAGCAACCAGCGCAACAACAATCTGGACCCAGACTGCCGCCCACATTGGCACCACTTCTCAGAGGATCCATCTGTTTTCCAGCCTCGTACGCGCCGTACACGATACCAGCTCCGGCTCCCGCGGTAGCGACGCCCCATAGCCCGTTCTGCATCGAATTCTGGAACCCCTTGACGGCCTTGTCCGGTGTGATTTCGGTGAGTCTGTGAGTTGGCGTCTCGAGGCTTTCCGTGAACCAGTTGTAGTCTAGTGCACATCCTTCAGGCGTCTTGATGATGCTGCCAAATTTCTTGAGCAGCTCCCGGCAGTCGTCGTATCCCAGATCTTCAGCGGGAATGGATGAGCGAGCGGCAGCCCATTCGGTGTTGACTTCGTCTTTCGTCAACGTCGTCCATCCGATCTGGCAAACGGTGTAGTCGCGAGTGGAGTAGCCCTTGGACGGTGTCGAAAGCTTGAGTGCTCTGAGCTTATTCATCTCTTCCTTCAAAGACCATGCAGCCACCCTCGCTTCATACACCCGAGCAGGCTCGAAGGAACTGGTCTTTTCGCTATTCGGCACCTTTTCCCTCGGCTTCGGGACACTACCATTCGGTAGGCGGAGCTCGTACTTTTGGCCGTGCGTGATGATGGCCCAGTGTACAAGACACCCGTCGTCGACGCGGCGAGAGTACCACACTTGTTCGCCCTTGGATGTGTCCTGTCCCTGCTTGCCGCGAAGGTCCACTTCCTCTTTCAACCTCTTCCTATCTTCTTCTTGTTGCTCTCTGGCCCTTAGGATCTCCGAGTTCTTGAACATTGTGTATCGAGTTCGAGTGTCGGCTTAGAGCTATCGAGGCGTGGGCGTATTGGTCTGTAGAAATTTGACGACGATAACCTCACAAATTGAGTCAGAACGTCTGGCTACTTTCACTCAATAGACATTGGCATGTTACACTCCATAAAACAAACGTGGGATCCTGGTTATCAATGCTTCAACGAAGCCGCTGACGGCATGAGCTGCAGCAGTGCGGCGTGCCCTGGCATCGCTGCGTGGGCTGCGCGGACTGCGCCGCAGATAGCTGCCAAGTCTTCCCCATCTCATAGGGCAGTTCGCTCTCACGCATTCTCGGATTGACCAATGTCAGCCTACGATCAATGGGATGTTTTTGGTGAGGATCTTTTGCATGTCTCTCCTAGGTACTACAAGCAGGGAGGCGCACCGCCTAAATGGACGACGAATATGACATCACCCCCTAGTTACGGAAAGATCTCCCCTGCATCGCCTCTGCTAAGCTTTCGGGCGGTTAATGTGGGGCGGTCTAATACCGGCTCCCTTCCTTCGTCCGATCAGCGAAAGACCAAATGATGCTTGATATGCGCACGGGAGAAACGTCAAACTACATGTAAGCTTCGCGTGCCACTCGGTAGAGGTGATGAGCCATCCTCAGCGCGTGGTCACTTCGCCTTCTTAGCGGCCGGTGCCATCGGAAGACTTACTCTCTTCAGTCCTGATGATATCTGTGCTCACTGTTTGTCGTACTCTGGATAGAGCCAAGCATGCAAGCAAGGTACGCAGATTTGACATGAAATACTAACCGCAATTCTCACTTCATGATGAGCATACGAGCTACTCAGCTTTTTAAGCAGCTGTGGTCCCCATCACCTGCCGGAAGAGCTTCGTACCGCCCTTTCGCCCTATGGTATGCCTCTCGACGCCAGCTATTCAGTCCTTTTTCTGGAAAGCGTACCTGGTGGATGATCGGTCTCGGCTCTGAAGCCAGTGGCGCAAGTAGTTAGCCACAGCACATTCCGTCTCTTCATTCGTCATCTTCTTAGTCTTTTTAAGAGAGGTAATTCATATATCGGTCGACACTCAAGTAGGTGATAAAGTAAGATGCTCGTCAAGAAGATTACAACGCTTATCTACCTATTTATTATACCTAATGGTTTCATTCATCATCCCTTTTATTACTTCTCTTACTACCTTACTACTATCATTTTTCATATTTTTATCAGAAAGTACTTATCGGAAGACGAAAAGAAATAGAGATAATAGGGTTAGGGATATTAAGAATATAGATAATAGGAATGGAAATAACAAGAACAGAAATAATATGGATAGAGCTGGGGAGAGTTACTCTCCGAGCGGCAATGGATTTTGTTACCCGCTCAATCCTTTAAAACCACCTTCATCTTCATTCAACTTCTCGTTAACGGCGTGCAGCGATAGGTCATATCCGTTGACAGAGGGAAAGGCCCACACAACACTGGTAAACTGACTACCTAGGTAGCCATTGCTCAAAGGAAGCCTGCTGAGAGAAAACTTGACTTTTCGAAGCCACCAAGTACCCTCGCGCTTCAACGAAACATCGAAGCAAGGTGTCGCAACCCCACAACACACTAATCTTGGTCTCGACTCATAAGGCTCAGCGCACCGCTACGAAAACTGATTTATCCTCTTTCCCGCGTCAAAAACAAGCTCTTAGAATAGGATTGCGCAATTTACGAGCGCGGAGCTGCATCCTCATGCACCTGCTGCCGAAGAACGCGTCATGCAGCAGCGAGCCGCGACTAAGATCGCTGTTACCCAGCCAAGACTCCACATTCAACTAATGGCAACATGGCCGAGTGGTCCAAGGCGATAGACTTGAATTGTTCACGATTCAGACATCTATTATCTTCGGATGCGCAGGTTCGAACCCTGCTGTTGTCGCAAACGTTTTTGCCTGGCAGCTCTTTCAGGATTTCTTTTTGCATCTTTGGACAGTACTAGTTGTGGCTATGGCTTGACATATCTGAAAAGAAGTGTGGACCTGAGTATGGAGTTCATGTTGGACAACAATGGAGAAGCAATCTCATAGTGTAACTGTATTATCACAAAACCTCTAGTCGTTGCCGAATGCCAATAGATCTCTTGACTATGGCTTCGACAAAGTGTACGAAGCAATTGACGGTGTATTGTAGTTAGTGTGTAGCTAGCGTGAAATAAATCTGACCTGACCTGGCACTCTTCCCAAAGCAGGAGTACCCATTGGTATTAAACATTAGAACCACGATCCAGAAAACTCCCCGCTCCCAGGTTCGTCACCTTGACAGACAACACCCAAAGTTAGCCAACAGGGTTCACAAAGCAAAGCAGTCACGGGGTCAAGAAACCCAGAAAGCTCAGAAAACATACCACGATCAGCAGCCATCCGGCCGTTCAGAAAGGCACTGGTCCATGCAGTGATTGCCCACAATAACACCATACACCTTGCCAGAGACGTAGCTGCGCATGATGTCACGGCAGTTATCGTACACAATCTCCGCGGCGGGCACGAGCTCCGCGACGGGCGTCGGCTTGTCAATGAAGGCGGTCCAGCTGACGCAGCACCGCGCCGTCTCGATCTCGAGACAGTAGTCCTGCGGGGTACCGCGGATCATGTCGTTGGCCTTGTCTATCTTGAGGACCTTGATGAGGCGATAGCAGACGCTGGCCATGGCCTGGTGGGCCTTGTCGCAGACGAGCTCGTTCTCGCCGCACATGGCGGACGAGGGCTCGCCGGCGTCGTCGTTCTTGGCGACGGTGTTGTCAGCACCGTCGGCGGCGGGAGTCTGGGTGATGGTGATGTCGGTGTAGTTCTTGCGGCCCCAGACGGAGAAGGTGCCAATGTCGTTGGTGTAGAGGTCGAGGACGATGCGCGAGGGGAACTCGGCCTCCATGGCGAATACGGCGTCCGCCTTGGGGAGAAGATGAGGTGGGAGAGCTCTCACAACCTGCATGTTGGCGCTCAGCGCCGTGGTGGCCTCGGGGATAATCATCTTGACGACGGTGCACTATCGATGATTAGTTATCTGTATGTTGCACTCGTTACACTTGATAAGACTTGATGTGACCTTACCTTGAAGGCAAAATTGCCTAGACTTGCTTGTGCGAAGAAAAGGCTGTGAAAGAGGGAAAGATGGAGCTGCGAAAGGCAGTCCGTACGCCGCAGGATTTATACACGCCGTGGGAGGGAAAATATGTAATCTGTGTACGTGTGCGTGTGGCTGATGAGAAATTCCTACTTGGGAGGTAGACACACAGCGGAATGAGAGACCGTGAGGGTAGAGCCCTCGAACCAAAGGAGTGCAGGAGAATAGTATCTCAAGTGTGGGAAGGACAAAATGCCGTCAAGGTCAGGATACTCGAAAAAGCATATCAACTGGTAGACCACCCTGCTAGAAAGAGAACGGCCCTGCCGCAGACCGGGGCATGGGGGATTGAGTTCTTTTCTAGACAGGCTGTGTAGTTGTGGACTCCGGGACCTGCTCAACAAGGTCCAAGGCAACGAATGATCTGTCATGAATAGTAATGCTGGTAATGAGCACTCAATCAAGTGACATTGAGTGGGCTGTCAGATAGTATAAGTGGCTGCATCTTCTACATCAAATACGGAACTTAATGCGTCCTCACCGCAAGGGTTCGTGCTCTTTTGCGTCCCTCTTGCCAGCAGAGCCTGCCAGCTTCCCACAGTTCGATGGTGTGTGGCTGCATATGTGCTGCTTCGTAAGCCCTTCCGCGAACGTCGGCGTCTCTCTGGGGTGATGTTAGGTTGAGCTGAGCAGGCCGTTCCAGACCGATAAGTTGAGGCTGGAGACTGAGACTTAGAGGAGGGGTGTAAGTAAGGAAGCATGCCAGAAGAGGTAGGTCACCAGGAAGCAGATAGGCCGGAACACACAGCCATTAGAGTCACCAAAATATGGCAAAGCAACAAGGTTTGAGGTCTTGACAAACTTGATTTCACCCAGAGGCCCCTCTGAGCCTGGAGCGGAAGTATCCCTACTCATCCACCAACGCCATTCGCCCAACGTGGGAAGCCACTAGATAAACCACACCAAGCAATCTACTTTTCGCCCAACGTACAGCGAGGCACAATCCCAAGTCCCAGACCGAATGATCATCAAGATTCCTACGCCAACCACCATCGAATAGCGCCAGCATGACCCTCTCATCAAGAGAAACAGACAACGGGTTAAAAGGACCATGATACAAGGCGAGGACGCATAGCCTCTTTAGTACGCAGCAGCAAATTCGTGAATGACAGAGGGGTATCGCAACTGCAGACCAATGACCGACCAACTAGCAAAGCTAACAACAGGATTGGTTCACACGCAGAACGGTCACGAACAAGTCAACAACGTGGCGAAAAAGCAAACTAAAAGCTAGGAAATCTCTGTTGGGGGAGTCCCGTGTGGAAGTAAGACGAATAGAAGGGGCAACCAAGTCGCAAAACCATCCGAACCCGACGCCCAAGACAAGCCCAGATGTCCAGAGAGGTAACTAAGGCCGCAAAGCATGCAATCGTCGTTCTCGTGATGTCTCACAATCGTATCCGCTATCCGTATGCCTAACATCAAACAAGTCCAAAGAAATATGTGTCATTCGCCCAGGTATCCATCGTGCAGCGTTAAGAGTCCAAGGCGGCGGCAGCGAACGAAGAACGATGAGAGAAGCTCGAGAAAGGGTGAAGCAATAAGACAGTTGAGAGCGCAACTCTCAATATTTCCTCAAGTGCTCAACTTGAGCCCAGAGGCATTGGGGCCGTCAAGGAGACCCTTGAAACCTTCGATCTACTATAGAGGATGTTAGCCCAGGTGTGTTCTGACACATGACCCGTGGATGCTTACCTGAGGAGGGGCACCAGGAGGGCCCTGAGGTCCCGGAGGGCCATGAGGACCCGGCGCACCGAAGTGAGCAGGTCCGTAGGCGCCAGGGCCGGGAGCCGGAGCGAAGTAGTGAGGTGGGGGAGGGGCAGGACGGTAGGGGGTACCAACACCAGAGTTGTTTTGGCTGCGGCCCCAGCTCAGACGGACACGAGAGTTTCCAATAGGGTATCCCTGCATCTGGTTGATGGCCATCTCAGCAGCGTGGCGATGGACGAACTGGACGAAACCGCAGCCCTTTCCAGGCGGGATCTTGACGTAGGTGATCTCTCCGAATCCTTGGAAGAAGCTTCGGAGCTCATCCTCAGTGACGTAGCCAGACAGGCCACCGACGAAAACGGTCGTGTTGTTGGGGTCGGTGAACTGGTTCATCTGCTGACCAGGAGGGTTGTAGGGGGCTCCGTAAGCACCGCCGTACTGGGCAGGCGAGGGAACGCCGTAGAAGCCCTGCTGGTGAGGGGGGAGGCCAGGAGCCATCATCTGGTTACCATGGTGCTGCTGGTAAGGGCCGCCGTGGTTGCTTCTGCTCTCGTTAGTTTCTTTGAACCAACATTTGCAAGACGTGCAAACTCACCGGTTCTTGGGGGTGGCGGTGGAAATGCGCATGGGGCGGTTGCCGCAGTAAACTCCCTGCATCTCCACAAGAGCACGCTGCTGGTCCTGCTCGTCGGTGAAACGAACGAATCCGTAGCCACGCGACTGTCCCGACATAGCATCGGTCATGATCTTAGCAGACTTGCAGGAGGGGAATCGCGCCTGGAAGAGAGACACGAGAACGTATTCGTTGACCTCAGGGCCAAGGTCGCCAACGAAGATCGAGTACTCGGGACCACGATCGTCGCGGCGGTCGTTGATGCCGCCACCGGAAGCCCAGTTGAGCTTGAAGGCGCGGTTGGAGTTGGGGACGGGGGATCCATTCAGGGTGAGGGCCTTGCTGGCGGCCTCGGACGAGGTGAACTCGACGAAGCAGTATCCGGCATTGCCCGAAGTCTTGTCACGAATGACCTTGACGTTGACGGGTTCTCCGGTGGCGGTCAAGAAGACACCCTTGATGAAGTTCTCATCCATCCAGGGCTCGAGCTCGCCCATCCTGTCTTGTGTTAGTCCGAGCCAGATTGAAAATCGACATGGTCACGTACCAGAGAGTGTTCTTATTCGCGTCCTGCTGGATAGGGGCCTGGCCGCCCGGGATCTCTCCGGAACCGTTGTTGCCGGGGAAGGGCATGCCGCCGGAGACGGGAGTACCGAACCCATCGCCGTTAGCGTTGGGAGGGGGGGCACCGTTGCCCTGAGCGGGGTTGTAGGGGTTAATTCCGTCCATTTTGGTGGTAAGATAGTAGTGAAGAGTTCAGAACTGTAGCTGTCCGCTTTCAAAAATGGTTGATGGTTTCGAGAATCGAATCAGAACGACCTGTATTCAGACGCAAAACCTGTACTCCGAAGGGAACTTGGTAAAAAGTCGATTCTCTCTGACGCCAGCACGCCCCGTTGTGAAAACGAAAAATCGAGATGTCGCGGGATGTTCGTGCAAAAATGCTTTAGCCGCCGACTCAAAGAACCGAGCAATGCTTCAAATTCGACTTTTAGGTCTGTTTCGCCGTGGCCAACGTGAACTTTGAACGGTTCGAGAAAAGGTCAGAGGAAGAATCGGAAATGATTGGACCTAACGAAGGTTAGCGTTCAGATATTCACATGTCATCCTGTCAGCTCGTCGTGAACAGTCGCAGTCACAATCGCAGTCGCAGTCAATCCGCAGTTGCTCATCTAGTAGCTGTTTCCGCAGGAATCATCGTGGGCGGTGATTGATAATGCAGCACAAGCGGCGTGCGTTCAATGCCGGTCGAATTTGTACCATGGCAGGGACCTCCTAGACAATCCTTCGCAAACGGACACCTGAGGGCAAGTCAGGTGTAGAGAGATTGCGAGCCCTTCAGTCGCATACCTGCTTGCAATTGAGGTGTAGCAAGCCTTGAGAGCGTGGTGGCCGGGTAACTTTTGAGGCAGTTGACGGAGGTCATCTGACCGTCTGCCTTTCGCGAGACACGTCATCTTCTCAGCAACGAGAGGCCTTGGTGACACAAGACCAAATGTTGCCATCCAACCTGGAGCTATTTCCTGTCCTCGGTGTGATGCCCTGCGGATCCAACCTTCGCCCCTCTCTAGTGTTGCGCCATTTCGGCTAGACGTTGGGCTTTAGGACGAAAGGACCGTGCCATATGTCAAGCCGATATTGCAGAAGCTCGTGATGAGGCCTTCCTTCCTTCCCCATGGTCAAAAGAAGCTGCGGACACGGCGCGGCGGGTGAAGTAAGACGGGACTCGCAGATGTTTTGGGTGCGGGGGTGAGGAAGGGCCGGCTGCTGATGGTGCATATTTCGTTTCCTCGGGCGTCTGACGGTGACGACTCGTTGCAGGACACGTCGAGGCTGAATGGCTTCGGCATTTGGTTGTCGATCTTCAAGCGCGATCCGGGATGATCCACGATGCATGGAGGGGTTCGATGATGCGCCCAGAACTGCTATTCCATTTTTTCTCCGACCAACATCCCCCAGAATCGCTCTTGGGGTCAATTCGAGGCGAGCAACGTCGAGGTGCTCAGCAGAGGATTGCCGAGGATGCCGAAGGCCGGATGGTCGGACACGAGCGTTCGATTTGCGACTGCGGCTGCGGTTGCGGATGCGACTGCGAGAATGCGACGGAAGAGGGGAAGGGGAGTAAAGGCAGAGAGAGAGGTAGGAAGAAACAGTGAGGTAGAGATAGAGAGCATTGATTACTTACTTTTGGGCGCCAACAAAAGACTATTTTTCCGGATGACCAGGAAGAAACGTCGTGCGACTCGTAAGGAGGGTGAGTGAGAGTGGTGAGGAGGAGGAATTACAGAGTAATTTTCGTGTCGAGGGAGGAATTTGGGAATGGGGGGGTTAAACGACGTGGGAGGAACCGGACAAGGAAGTTGCGCGCAGAGATTTTTTTTTCGCAGCTGGTGAAGGCCGTGGATCTCGCTCTAGTCAGTGGTGACGTGAGGTGGACAAAAAACGCGGCAGCTGGAGCAGCACGGATTTCTTTTGCAACAACCAAGACAATCGCTGAAAAGGATGCTTCGATTTTTTTAGCAAAACCCGCAGAGCAACGCAGAGGAGCAGAGCAGATCGCAGAGAGCAGACAGAGAGACGACAGAAGAGGCAGAGAGAGGTGCAACTCTAAAGAAAGAGGAAGAAGGAGAAATGGACGATGATGGGGGTAGAGGGGGGAGTGGGAAGAAGAAGGAACCAAGGGAAGGGAAAGTGGAAGGAAAAGGAAGAGACCGCCAGCCAGAGACTCACGCCAGACGCCAAACGGGGTAGGCAAGTACCTTCCTCACTCACTGGCAATGGAGTACCTACGCAAGTGCAGGCGCAGGCGCAGGCTCGGGACGTAGAATGTGGATTTTTGGGCGAGGGGGAAAGGGAAAGCACGACCTGAACTCTAGGGGTGAGAGGGGGTGTGCGAGGCGGAAGGAAGACAGGCAGGTACCTTCCTGGGTATTGATTGAGTGTGTGCGTGTGTGCGCAAGAACCTAAGGTTGTGTGTGTCCATGTGTGTGGGTGTGTGTGTGGGTGTGGAAGGAACCTTGGGCCCTTAGGGTGAGGTGAGCTAAGGTACCTTGAGGTAAGGTGCAAGTAGAAGAGGGTGAAAGCAGGTACGAAAGACAGTGGTTGAAAGTGTCTGTAAGTACGGAGTACCTTTTCATTTTCCCCGACGCACCTGTCTACCTACGTACTTGGCTATTCTCTCTGTCTGTTTCTCCCGTTTCCATCATCTCTGTTTTGCGTGTCTCCGATGCTGTTGCTGGGGACGGTAAGTGCTTGTGTCCGGTACCCAAGGCAGCTAGAGGTATGGGATGTCTGTGTGCATGGTGTGCTGTGCGTGCCTCCTCCCCAGCTCTTCGGAGCAAGCAGGACAAGGTACCTCTTACCTTAGCTTAGACTCTACTTTTTGCGAGGTACCGGTGGGAGAAGGTAGGTACTTTTACCAAAGGTAAGGAAGGTATGGAGTCGAGGTTGAGGTGCCTTCCAGGTTAAAAGTTGAGGGCAGGTGGAGCATCAGCAGACGAGCCTGTTTCCTTACGTACCTACCGCAACTTAAGCCGCACTTTACTGAGTGTGTACTAGCTGGGTGCATCTCAGCAAGCAAGCGCACCGGGTCAATCCAAGTCAGCCGCAGCAAAATAGAACCTAAGAGGCTCAGACTCCAAATCGACGAAGCAGCAAAGTGGACAGGTCTCCATTGGCCATAGGTAGGTGCATGGAGGTTTGGTGTGGGTCCGGTGTCGGTGCTGATGCCGTGCGCTGGAGTTGGGAGAGCCGTGGCTGCCACCAGCGAGCTTTAATAGAACGCCGGCAACAGGCGGACTGGCATCGCGTTTTTCAGGTCAGGTACGTGCATCTATGGAAACAGCACGAGGCGTCTCGATGTGTTTGTTTTTCCCTCTTGTTTTATCCTTGCCTCCATGGACAAGTCGTCGGAGAGATTTGACTCCAGAGGACATTGGATATATCGATGACAGTTTGTGGTGAGGCAAGTACTCTCAGGGCTGGCCTGGGGCATCCACCTCGTGACTCCGAGGCCAGATTACCGAATGAGAAATGGGGTGTCGTGTGTGGGAAGGAATGAAAGGAAGGAAGCCGACAGGTACGGAATACAAGCAAAGGTGCAGGTGCAGCTGACACCCTCGCGGCAAGTGACAACCAACTTTCCTCGCGACACCTTTACTGCGTATTCTGGTCTGGAAGGGAGTTTGCGCTTCCCGTGTTCTTTCCACCTGGCCGGATAATATTCAATTCGATATACCTTTACGGAGTACCGATGCAATACCTATACTAGGTAATAAGCTCTTTCCGTCCGTCCGTTCATGCCCAATTGATAATGGATTGGCGCGTGCCCTGTCCCTCTCTACCCTGCCCCGGGAAAAGAACGAATGAAGAGCGTCCCAATCCAATCCGGCCCAGCTTGTCCAGGTTCTTTGCACCTTGCAAATGGCAACTGTACGAAAAGGCAATGTCCGGGACTACTTTACCTTACAGGCAGCAGAGACTCAACCTCGGAGGCTCAGGCTGGCCCGGTCACTGGCGGCGTCAACGTGGACTTGCCCTGACAGGAAAGGCATCCCGGCTCCTGCCCTCGCGTCCCCCCATCTGCCTGAAAACCTTGTTGCTGCTCGTGGGCTCCATCTTTTGCATCCTTTTTTGACTCCGTGACTCCGTCCGGTTTCTTTCGTGGACCTATTCCGCTTCCCATGCGTTTTTGTATGTATCTTTTCCCCCAGCTGCATGCTGTAGCACATCCGCAAAATGCAGATCGTCCCAAAGCCAGACGACAGGAAGGAAAAAAAATACTTTCAGTCACTTCTGATGCATGCCGCCGGCTATAGCCAATCTACGATCTTGCACCAAAACGACGGTACCTTAGGCCTCATTAGGGCGAGGTAGGGCAATCCTCCGGGCAGATCATACGGGGGCGGGAGAGACACGCTAAGCGGAAAACGCAGTTGCCCTACGTTGACGCCTCGTCTCGCCTGCCTTACCTTGCCGTGCTTGCCTTAGCTGGAGGGGAGCTCACGGCGCGAATCCCAGTACGTACCGGATCAAGACGCGAAATGGCGTCACGAAAAAAGGGAGGAGCAGGGGGTCCGCCGGATTGGGGAGGGGCTCTTTCCTTGACCCTGCAGCCAGGTGTCGCCTTATCCCCGATACCTCACCTCAAAATCGGGAGGAAGGCACGAAGGTACCTATCTTACCACGGGAGGTACTTCGATATCACAGTTTGATACGGCAGTGAATTCTCGATCAAGCATCTGCGCAACATGCAATACCGAGTCTGCCAGAAATCCGTTCTCAACAGATAGGTAACACCTCATCATCACATCAATCAACCTTTCCCCAACTGCAGCCATCTTGGTATATTGGCCTCATTGGCCTTATTGAAGACAAGTCATCTCTCCACCTTCACGATCGTCGGAAGAAGCCCCAACCACACCAGCCACAGCAACGGGAATGCGAGCTGTTCACACTTCACCTTCACTGCGAGCCTCGAGGACAATCATCCCAGGCTTTGCTTGCTTTTCCGGTTGAAGCCATGTGAATTCACTCGCTACTCGCACCGCATCCAGCCGGACTCAAGCAACGTCGGCCCGGCAATGGTTCGCTTGGAATGCGCCGGCTCAGTCCCTCATTCCAGATGCCGCTCACCGATCGGGCCCTTCCCGCTCGCATGTCTCTCCCTAATCAGCCGCTGGCCGCTGGACGAGCACGAACGATGAGATGGCGGATGCGACAAACACCAAAGAGCGAGCCGCATACAAGACATGGGCCTCCTTTCATTTCTTTTTCCCCGTCGCTGACTTCCTCCACGGAAACCTCCTCGACAACTTCTATATGCGCCGGCCGATGTTAGTCTTGCGTGTTGACTCGCCCCCCCCCCCCCCTCTTTCCTTCGAACGTGTCCCAGAGCCAGCGTGACATGTCGTGATATTAACCTTTGCCGCAGCTGTCTTCGAGCCTGAACTCGCTAACCGTTTGTGCGCGCACCATGTTTCGAAACAGTTCGACGGTGTCAGTTTCTGCTCCGATCCAAGGACAGTCCTCGCTCTTGGCCACTCGTTCGCTTCTCCAACAGTGCAGAACACTCGGGCTTCTTCTGTCTGTGCAGCTGCCGCACGACCGCCCCCATCTATATCGAGGAAGCCACTCTACAGTTCTGTACATGGCTCCGATAACCACTTCAAGCAAAGAGATCAACAAGTAATGCGCCAGAGTAAGCTGTTTGCACACGGTGGACTTGGCATTCGTGGCCTGCGACTATCTCCTCCCAACTCGTCACGACAGCCAGCTAGTATAACCGTCACCGAAGATGCCGGCCGAGTAGGAGTCCTGGCCGACTGGCCAACCTTGACCACGAAAAGACACGTCAAATGGCTCTGGTATCGGCAAGTCATGGCTGCCTTGCCTTCCTTGGTACCCCCGTCCGGGAGATGGTCGAATAGCAGCGTTGACGTTGCACGGTACTGGCACCTCACTTTACGCGATCCTCGTCCTCTGAACAGGTCACCCCTGGCTTACGGGTGACGTTGGCAGAGGCATTGATTAATTGTTCGTCTACGGATACCGCAGTCGTCAACCCCGAAAGCCCCAGCGGCCAGAACGGCCCCTCCTTTACGAAATCTGGTTAAAGTGCTGTCTCCGCGCCTCATTGACACGCTGGCACTCCGGCAGCTAAGGCACGCGTCTCCTTGTCCGGGGCGGACGGCTATGAAGTTCAACAAGGAGCCGAAGCCTCGGGATTTGGGCATCGTCCGCCGCTGTGCCGCCTCCACCCTGTCGGCTGAATGCCCGAGCGATCCCCAGTGGTGATGATTTTTAGACCTCGAATGGACTGAGAGTACAACGCGCGCGTCCGCCACAGATACTATCTAGAATAATCCTTATTACGGATTCAATCTTCACTTGGATCGCTCAAGTTCTCATGTATGCAAAGGACCGAAGCTGTCGTCGGGCTTGCAGCATTTGCACAGCACCCAGTAGCACCCAGCACGACTCGCATGACAGTGAATTTCGGGTCTCCGTCGTCTGCCGACTGACGCTTATTGGGTACATCATTGGCTTGACAGTAATTTTTTTTTTCCTGAGAAATGAAATCATCGGTCGGACCAGGGTGGAAGGGGGTGGCCGCATGAAGGAGAGTTCCCACTGCTACCGTGGATCGAGGTGTGGGAAGAGTTAGATCTCTGGATTTTCTAGCCCTTCTCTCTCACTGGTCGCTGCCTCGACGCGCCATGTGGCCCGGCCTCACTCAGAGATGCTGTGGGCTTGGATTGGTGGTGAGTTCAAATGACTCCCTTTCCCTCCTTCATTCCTACTCGTGGGCAGTGGTATGCTACCTATGCGGGAGCTGTCTGTGTTAGTTACCCTGTAGGTCTCGGCCGATAATAGGCATCAAGTATCGCCCGCCAATTGATACCTTAAGCTGCCGTTGCCTACACCCGCGGCTCAAGTTTGGAGCATGATTCAGCTCGCACTAGCAATCTCCGGTGCAACTCTTGAGCACTCGACTCCTCGAGCCGATTGATGGCACCGTCCCCTGTCGTTCGCGCAGGTCAGTCAGCACACGGACGCAAACCTGGGACCTCCCGCTCAATGTCCATTTCTCCATAGTCCGTACTGGTCGTCAAAAGAGTCTTTCTCAGCAAATGCTCAGCGTCCGCGCCAAAAAGAGCATCGGTATCACAGGGGCATCAACATATCCCTGCCCGCCGTCGTGACCATTTCTGCGACGCATCAACAATCATACGAAGACTTGTCTAGCACCAAGAAAAAAATTGTCGTTCCATGTACATCATGTCCGTGGAGGGCATTAGTCTCGATGCTAGCCCCAGTTGGTGTATTCCTTCTGGCAGCAGTGACTTGCGTCCTCATCAGCATGAAGACTAGCAGGGTTCGGCATGTCTCAACCGCATGTTGTTGCGGCGAATCATCGAGGGGCTTTTGCAATTCCACCAGGTTCGTGAATGCATCTTCTCCCTCATCAGGACACGTATAGCAGCATCGTGACCTGCGCACACGTCCTCTGGCAGGCAGGACTGGCGCGGGGGGTGAGACCTCAGACGGGCAGGTTGTTCCTCAGAGTATCCCCTCAGTGGCTCAGACCACGTTGATTGACCAAAGGGCTTCTTCTCGAAGCCAAGCTGACAGGCACCGAGCTCCTCAACCGGCCGTGTAGGTATTTCGTCTGATGATCCAGGGTCGCATAGCCTACAGACCACAAAGTACAGACTACGAAGAAGCAATTTCCCTCCCTTTTTCGCACCCTTCAGTTGCATTCCCCAGCTTTTGGAGGGCTCTAGGTACAAACTTGAGACCTTCGATCAGCGACTTCGTGCATACCACCAATAGGTCGGCGCTCTCTGCGTCGTCCAATTCTTACGCTCCATGGCTCCCTCGGTGCCGGGCTAATTAGTCCGCAAACACATGGCCCCGGCGCCCACGGATTCACTTCCTCATAAGCCAAGGAAGCTGAAGGGCCCAGGAATAGCTCCTCGCGGGACTTTCGCCCCGACGTTGAGGCACCAAGAGCCTGCCAACTCGGATTTCTCTGCGCAGAACGAACTGGCTTCACTTTTTGAACTCTTCTACGATTGCTTTCGTCTATGGTACCCGACAGGGTGTATGTCTAACGGATCGATGAGCGACAACCTCCCCCCTTGACTCGCGTACCCACTTCTTGGTCTCATTCTTGGGCAGAACCTGAGGTACTGGTCGTACTCTTTCTTCTTTCTATCCCTCACCGGCTACCCGGCCATTGCGCTCAGGCAATGCAGCGGATACCACTGCTGACTGCCCAAGACGACATCGTAGCATCCAGTCGCGGCGCTTTGAGTGGCACTATCGATGCCAGGTTTTTGCATCAGTCAGGAGAGCAGGCTTCTAGGTTCCGACATAGGTACAGGAGGAGTTGGGATGGACTCGTTTGGTTTTTTTCAACGATTTTAGGAACTAGTCGCAACACTGAGCGTCGTTTGCAACTCCCCAAACTCCCTCGTCGCAACCTCGCCCGTCATCAACCATGGAACATGGAGCCTCATCGACTGGGCAATCTGCCATGGACTGAATCTTCGTCCTCAGATGGCTTGGGGGCCTGACCAATAGTCACGTCGTCGCCCAATTTCTCTTCTACCTAAACAGCTTCAAAAAGAGAGAAAAAAAAAGAAAAGATTGGTAGGTTGGAATGCGTACGGGATACCGATATGGGGTTGGCTTGCACGCCTGGTAAAGCCTGGAAAATCCGTACCTTCCAAAGCGCAAACTCTAAAAATGAGTTTCGGAACAGGAGCTAGTTGGGAAGTAGCGTGTTCGATTAAGTGTGTGTGTGTGTGGGAGTATCGATGTGATGTGATGAGGTACAGGAAGACTTTGTCATGTGAAGCTGACTCTTTCCATGTTGCGGGGATGGTTTGACAAGAGGGGAAGGGAAGGGGGCAAGATGCAGTGTGATATCAGAAGGACAGGTGTGAGTCCTTTTTGAGTTTCTCCTACAGCTGCCAATGAGGCTTCTCCAATGGCAGTCCGCGTTGGTGAGGTGGTGAAGGCGTGCTGGGATCATCTCTGTAGAGTTGTAGGACTCTCGGGGTTTCGCTGTGTGCGTTTGGTGCATGCCAAAGTGGTGAATCAATAGTCGATGTTCGTATCTAGGCCGATTTCGGATCGGTGTTTGTAGGATTGGAGAAGTGATGGGGTACGGTAGGTAGGTATAGTAGGTAAGGTAGGTAGACAACGTTGACGCGTCGATGTTGTACTCTGTGGTAGGTTGTAATCTTTTCCCGGGGCCCCGGAGCGGGCGCGCTTAGCGGTCGACGGTACCTTACGCCGGCCGCACGGCGCGCGTTCCATCAGCGAATACTGTGTCCAAGTCGTATCTTTGCTCAAACTGCCGCCAGACTAAATTCTCACTGGGTTTGACAAGCGGTTATCGTTTAGCCGGCTGGAAAGGGGGGGGATAAAGGCTGCCTTGATGGTTTGAATGTGCATTTGAGGCCCCTAGTGTCGAATTCTGACTAGTTGAATGATCTGCCGGGCAAAAGTCAATCAGACTATTCTTCTGTAATGACTTTGTCTGAGTTACATCGTGAGCGGGGTTTGTGTCGTTGATGCACAAGCGTTACCGGTTGGCGATACGGTTTATCGAGACGATGGTGGGAGTTTGAGGCTAATTGTCAATGAAAAGACTACATTATGTATCTTGTCACGGCCAGGGGGTTGAGATCCTAGCTTAACTTAGTTGAGGCTGATTATTAAACCATCGAGTCGACGGCAATCTGATGAGTTTAACGTTGAGTTCAGCTGGGAGAAGACTATGAGGTGAATGTTCACACTGATAGGGGTCTTTGGTGTTCTCAGGAGGGCAAGCAAACACATGTCCATCAGGGATATCGTCTCATGTGGTGTTGCAAAAACTGCTAGTTACTAATCTAGGTTGGAGGGACTAACCTGGCGCTTGACTAGTTATCCCTCATGTTGAGGTTTCGTCTGGGTGTGGTGTGAAGACGTCGCCTGGGGTCGGTAGGCGGGAAGGAGTGATTGGGAAACACGGCATCTGCGATTTGTTCCGGGTTGCTAAAGTAGATCCGAGTTTGGCCGAAGGATTTGTTTGATATTTGAGGCAGAACAGAATGCCATCGAGGGCAAAAGTCAAAATGTCATTTTTTCCCCCTTTCGGCTTTCGTTGGTATCGATTACCTAGGATCAGGTCATTGCACAGGAGAATACGGATGGTAATTTTGAGTTGAAAGCATGAGTATCATTGGACTCATGCTACAGAAGTGGTGGAGTTACAGATAGCAATGTTCATAACGCAGGTGTTGGGAGATGTTGTCAATGTCTAAGTCATAGGATCTTGAACACCGCTATCCGGCTTGATAGTCTTTGAGAGTTAGCGGTGGTGGGCGAGCTTGACACCTTTTGGTTGACATTGGCGAGCTCAATTTGTACCTACAACGTACCAATGCTATGCTTTTGAGGATCAAGCAAATCCCAACACTATGTAAGCGGTCTCTGGCAATAATAATGCAAGCTATGGGCTTTACGACCGTAAGGTAATCAGTCGTCAGATTTCGGTATGTTGTCAGATGCCTCCAGACATAAATGACGCCCTGGTGGCCCGTCCAACTCGGAAGGTAATAATTCCAGTCATGGGCTTCTACTGCCATGGGTTCGGTTGTCTTTGATCACATCAGAACCACTGGATCCTTGATG